TAGGAGCAAGGACGCTACTAGGGGTTCCTGGCATCGCTACTAGGAGCGAGGACGCTACTAGATAGTATATACCCATCATCCTTTGAGCTCTTCGGTCGGCTAAAGCCGCTTTCGGAGGGCACCGAGCGACGAGCGACGCAGCGACGCCCTCGAGACGTGATCATCCCAGGCGGCACGACGGGTGGGAAGCACGATGAACTCGGACATGTTGGACATGTGAGCAGCGGACAAAATTACTTGTGAAGCCAAATACCATTGGACATGATTATTGTTTTTGGTGGAGCCCATATCGGTTTATGGTCATGCCGTGACTAAATAAGTCAACCAATAATTTTGTCCGTCGCTCATGTGGCTGTGGGTCGCATTGGGGGGCCCTGGTTGACTACGGAAAATGAACAGAAAAGATTACGTAGGAGGTCAATCTACCAAGGGTTTTGGGCTCCGGGTTTTGACCCACAGCCATGTCGATCTTTTCAAAGGGATCACAGGATCGATTTGAAGATTCGAACAATTTCTGAGGGATTCGGTTGTCGCACGTGGCTCGCGGCTCAGCCTGAGTGAGAACATCCTCGCTGAGGGAAAGGTCCTGACATCTTCGGCACCGCAGGACTGCACGTCCCCTCGACCCCGTTCGGTCACGCTGGAGTCATACTGCACGGCCTCGCCCTTTCGGATTCCCTGTTCAACCGGTGAATCAATGACTTGTTGGGCCGTCTTGCGGAGTCCCAATTGACACTCCTGCGGTGACAAAAAGGGGAGAACCGTGCTGTGAAGGAATCACGTACTGTCGATGTCTTGAAACCCTTTTTGGGGATTGACCCACTACCACTACCTACTCCTACTACATACTACCTACTAACTACTATATAAATAGACACTACTAACAACTAACTACCACTACGCCACTACGCCTACCCCTACTACTTTTGGTGGGCTTGACTCTATTCAGTCTCCCTCGATTGTTTGCTTGGAGATGTTTTTCTTGCTACTTAAGCTCCAACATTATTGGCTTTCTTCCGCAACCCACAGGCCCTTCACGACTTCATGTTCAACACGTGAATCAAACCGGAGAAACCCGCGAATCAATGGGTGGCCCCACTGCGGGTGAAATCAAGGAAAAGGAATGACAAACCTAGTAAGAAAGTCTCAATCAATGTTTCTATTTCCGTGGCAGGACATGGTGCCCTGAAAACCATGTTACCCTGCTGAAAGCATAAGACACAAGCACAATATTACATATTGGCATAGGAGTGTAGGGCACAGGCACTGCAAAACGTCCCTTTACCAGTATGCACAGTATGCTCAATCGCACCCAATAAAGGGCCCCCGTGAGCAACCACTGATGCGACCGTGTCTATCTGCTGCTTATGACCCTAGTATAAGGTCGGTCTCTCAACTCAACAAAGGTCGCTCAGCTCCGTCTTGTTGCCATTTAGACCATCGACACCGGGACTCCAACCCACCCACAAAGCATTGAATCTAGTAGTTCTTTCCTGAGTGCCAAATAGTGCCTATGTGGGCAAGCAGCGAGCAGTGATTGACCAGTTGGTCCTAGTCCTCGTTGGAACCCATACATTTGCCTGTCCGCGGCTTTGACCAACTTCCAAGCCCCACTCCGATGTATAAATCTCCTTCATCAGATGCAACTTGGCGGTTGTATCCTCGTACCATGGGCTGGACTTCCACGAGGCCGATGCCAGTGGCCGAAAGAGAAATCGTATCATGACATAAACAAACGTATGAACTAGTTGATGGCTTACAATTGTATGAACTATAAATGTAAGTGAATAGTTGACATGATCATAGTTGACATAGTTGACATAGTTGACATGACATATATAAACGTATCATAACGTATCAAATAGTTGCCATCAATGTGGTACAGGAAAGAACATATGCAGCCCGGTCGTTCGTCGTCGGATTGCCAGGCGCAGCGTGGTCGGAGACCGGAAGCGACCATTGGATGACAAACAATGATCCAAACATCTCAAACCATGTTAGAATGCCCAAGTAGTGTAGCTAAAAAAGGCACCTCGAATCTCCAAGTACCCATACATATATATATATATATATGCTACCTCCCCACCCAAAAAAAACAACGTTTTCAGACAATTTTTTTGCTTGTATGTGAGAGTTGTCTTTTCTGTAGATGGTCCATCCCGTCCACCCTCGATCCCCAAAAATAAAGTTATTCATTTATTTTTGGCCGCCAGGAAGTACAAATTAATTTCAAATAACTCTTGACCACCAATTTTAATCTATATTAACTGGTGGGGCTATCGGCTAGCATATATTACTATGTTGGATGGTTTTTATATTATAGAAATTTCTCATGTAAAATATAAAAGCCATTAAATATGTTGACCATTAATTTCCTCCACAAGCATTCTTCATTACCAAACAAAAAGGCTGCCGTCAATAATTTAATGGTCAACCAATAATAAAATACTAGCCTTGCAATTGACCGGGCATCAATATTTAAATAAAATAATGCCCTCATGATTATAGATTAAAGAAATAGATTAAAAGATACCATGAATTTTAAAGAATGAAAAGATATAAAATTCATGGGCATCATCCAAGAACCACAAAAAACATAAATAAATGGTGGGCATTCTACCTTTATAGTTCTAGAAAATACCATGAAAGATAGAATGCTTCTTGGATGATTTGTTCCTTGGCAGTTAATGGTCAATAATTCTTTGTAATAGACGGTTATCTGTAAAAGCCATTAACTGCCATATCTTTCATTATTCGTTCATTCCCTTTATTTTATTCGCCATTAAAATAAAGGATCATTCACTTTCTTTAATTCTTTCTTATAATTCAATGAGCCATTTTTCTTTTATATTAAATGGGCGGTCAATGGCTAGTTCTTTATATTTTATGGATCATGCACCATTATTTTATTATTCGTGATCGCGGTTGTCTTTTCTTTACTGGTGACTCTAGGCCCTGTAAAATAATGGTGCATAAAATACAAATAAATAGGCTTTGAATTTTCTTAGTAATCAATGACTGTTCTATAAATTCTAAGCCAAACATTAAGATGTAGAAGCCTAGCCGATAACCTGCCTTTCACAATTAAAAAAAAGAGGCATCATGAAATATAAAGGAATGAAAAACATGAATGATCACAATTAAAATTAAGGGAAAATAAGTGAATAAGATATAAGTTTAACGGTGAGAATGAATAATAGAAAGAATCCATAAGATACAGATAAGAAGATAACAATAATGTAATGTCAAGATACGACCATAAGATAGAAAGTTGTCTACAGGAAATTAACCACCTATCCAAATAAAAGAAAAATGAAGAAGAAACCAGAAGCACAAATAAAAACCATTAAATCTATTGCTGAAACATATTATAATATAGAATGAAAGACTTCTCGTAAAGTAAAGTCAGATGAAGATAGAAGTAAATAATAAAATGAATCCTGCATTTTTATTTGGCACAGCTTTTAACATAGCATATTGGCATAAGAAATACCATTCAGGTACTATATGTAAAGGAGTAAGTAATCCACATGCTTCTAATGCATTATCTGGATGTGAGAAAGAAGAGAAACCGAAATGGATTTGAAGAAGATATAGATAGATAATTAATATCTTTCCATAGAAATCTTTACTAATAATGAAAGGAAAAATACTATTTTATTATTAGTGGAATTACTTAATGGATTATTAGAAGATAGAAAATGTAGATTAAAATATGATAAAGAAGAAAACCACAAAGAAGAAATGAAAATAGAAAATGAAAGACAAAGAACCTCTTCAACGTAAGATTGTAAACATAATCCCCTCCACAAAGCCATTCTATAATAGATGGAAATGGAGTTAGTAAATTAAAAAAACTAGTAGTTACTGTAGCACACCATAAACTCATTTGCCCTAAAGGTAAGACATAACCCATAAATGTTGCTGCCATTGATAAGAAGATAATAATAATTCCAGAAAACCAAGTATTGGCATTATGGGGCCTCTGGGGGTGTATAAATTGTTGTTTTTTTTGAGCCTGCCAAGGAATTTGCTATTTTTTGTCTACCCCACCTTGCAAAAACACTGGCAGGTTCAAAAAAAGCAAAAGCCCATAATCACAAAACCCTGGCAGCCTCAAAACAATCAAAGCAAAACAAAAGTTTTGGCATCTATGGGTGCTCTGGGGGGTCCATAATTTTTTGATTTTTTTGAGCCTGCCAAGGAATTTGCTTTTTTATATACATCACCTTGCAAAAACACTGGCAGGCTCAAAAAAATCAAAAAGCAAAAGCCCATAATCACAAAACCCTGGCAGGCTCAAATTTTTGGCATTTATGGGGGCTCTGGGGGGTGCATATTTTTTTTGATTTTTTTGAGCCTGCCAAGGAAATTGCTATTTTTTATATACACCACCTTGCAAAAACACTGGCAGGCTCAAAAAAATGAAAAAATCAAAAGCCCATAATCACAAAACCATGGCAGGCTCAAAAACTATTTAAAAAAAAAAACAAAATTGTTGGCATCTAGGGGGCTCTGGGCGGTGCATAAATTTTTGATTTTTTTGAGCCTGCCAAGGAATTTGCTATTTTTTTTACATACACCACGTTGCAAAACACAGGCAGGCTCAAAAAAAGCAAAAATTTATACACCCCCAGGCCCCCCATAGATCCTAAAACTTTTGTTTTTTTACTTTTTTGAGCCTGCCAGGGTTTTGTGACCAGGGCCTTTTGAAATTTTTGATTTTTTTGAGCGTGCCAGTGTTTTTTCAATTTTTGGTCTACCCCACCTTTGCAAAAATGCTGGCAGGCTCAAAAAAAGCAAAAAAATATACCCCCCCAAGCCCCCATAAATACTAAAATTTTGTTTTTTTATTTGTTTGAGCCTGCCAGGGTTTTGTGACTATGGCCTTTGATTCTTTTTTTGAGCCTGCCAGTGTTTTTGCAAGTTTTGGTCTACCCCACCTTGCAAAAATGCTGGCAGGCTCAAAAAATCACACATTTATACCACCAGTATATCGTTTATATTAAGTATATATTTGATCAGATGTAGGAGGATGTTCATTTAGCCTTTTGATCAAACGCCATATGCACATTGCAGATTCAGATTTGTTGGTACCCCCCACCTCCCCTATTTGTCTGAAAGTGTTGTTTTTTTTGGGGGGGTACCATATATATATATATATCACATTGATATTAATCTCCAATATGACACATGACTCAGGTACATGTCCGCCCACTCTTTCGGGTCAAACCTCTCATATGCCATCTCTCCATATCTCTCCCGTCTTTTCATCCCATCAGGAACCGGTCCAGCAGGTTGATGGCCACCACATAGTGCTGATCTGGATCACCTGACCGCACTAAAGGACACGTTCCAAGGAACTCGAACTCGTTGAAGCAAGGAACTCCGCACGTGTTCGTCCAAACGAGTTCAGCGCAGGAAGATTCGTCACGAAATGGCTGTTTGAACGTGTGATGCCATGGGTTTCGGATTGTCATCGACCCACAAAGGTTTCATTGCAATATGATGTTGTTTGTTTGAAAAAGACCGACTGATATCGACTGTCTTAGGTGTAGCGTACTATATACACTAAAAATGTAATATACTATAAGACTGCTGTGTATGCAATTCCAAAGTATCTAAGAAGTGATCGACGAACATATTGGATAATATATGATAATATTGGATGTCCTATAGGCTTTGTGGTGGCCTAAGTCTGAAACCATTCTTCTTTTAGAAAACTGCTCATTGGATCTTCGTGCGTGATATAGCCACAGTTGTCCCACGTTTCGCCAGTTTCTTGTTACTTCCGTTGTGCAAGATCACTATGCAATGCATACAACAACACTAGCTAGCTTGTCCAAAAGCAAAAGTGCAACACATGATATTTGCCAAACAATAGATTTCCCCTGTTTCTCAAATAAAGCTTCGTCCACGCCTCCTTCCTCCTTCCGAACAGAAACAACATGAAACTGTGTTCAGTGAACCTTCAAGCGGCAGGACCTTCAACGCCAGCATTGAATAGAATTCCCACCGTCTTCCATCGATATCTTTATTCCATCTATTCTTGTGTCGGTTTCTGACTTCTGCCAGGCTGCTACTCCGGGCCTCGGACGCGAAGCGAGGAGCCAACACGGCTTGGGACACTAGAAATTTGAGAAGCCAATGCCTCAAAACTTTGCCCCAAAGGTTTGTCTACACAAAAATTGATGCAAAACATTTGTTGTTTGGTGGAAAAGGATGAACAAAGAGTCCTTATTGCCAGTCCGCACCGGTGATTGGGCGGATGATGAGTCGTAGACAGGCCAGGTACCGTCGATCAGTCTGTGGGACTCACTGTTCTTCCCAAAAGAAGAATGTGCCGCACCAACACCAGCAAAAGGAACAGCAACAGTTACACATCCCCAACTCCACTGTTTTTGCGTCTGTTGCGCTTCCGAGGTGCGGCGAAGAACTCTGCTTGGCCGCGAGGGAGTGTGAAGGTCTCCTGCAGCACCTTGTCACCAAGGCTGACCTGCACAAGTTCGCAACGTTTATTTTTCCATCCAACAAGTGACAAATTAGTGTGGATAAGGGTTCTTGCGGTGAGTGTGTCAGGCTGGGTTTGAATGAGGGTGCTCGCATCCATGTCCAGCCAACTCGCTGCTATTTATGGCGCACGCATGCCTCTCAAGATCTTCGAAGTGCCTTTCGACTGCGCAGGCTCGCTGAAACTTAAAGGCTGCTGCTTTCTTTGACTGCGCTCTCGTTGTCTTCGGACGTCGTGTTCACTTTGTGCTTTGGTGGTCTGAAATCGACTCTTCGTAGGCGCGGCGCGCCAGCACTTGGGCCTGGTGGTGGTCTTTGGCGTGCTCTGATTTCGTGGCAGGTGCAGTGAATCGGTGAATCGCGCACATTGGACATGTGGCTCTTTTCACAAATTGGGAAACCTATTGCGCGTAAACTTCGTTTTGGACTTTCAATCACGTCTTTGGATACGCCACTGTTGCGAAACACACTTAGGTCGAGAGCTCTTGCCGCGTTGCCAGATTCGAGCGCTCGAACCTTGACCTTGGAAACGGCCCTGTGAAGAACGGAAAGGTGAAAGGGCCCGCTGAGCAGTATTGCTCAAATCACATGGGTGAAACACATGCAGGTGCACGGATTAGCATCCCAATCCGCTGCACTATCCGACTGTCAAGCTGTCTTCGTTGGCAGCAGAACGGTGGACTCCTTGCTGCCCAAAAAGGACGAGCGTTGAATTAAGAAAGAGTGTGTGAATCCCTTGAAAACAGGGGCTGACACACACAGACACACACACACACACACACACACACGCAGGCACTGGCAGGGCTGCTCGATGTGAAACTTGATGTGCAGACTTCGTGGCAAAACCCGAATTAACTTGTAAATTTTGAAGTGCCGATTTCATGGCAAACAAAGAAGTTTGTGAACCTCGAAGTGCAGATTTCATGGCAAACCCTAAACTATGTAAACCTCAAAGTGAGATTTCATTTGGCCCGTGACAGCCCCTTAAGTTCGCCGGTTATTTGCCTACTTTTCTACTATTTGCAATCAAGTAATAGGCCGATGAACGTGAGCATGAGCGGGGCGGGGCCGGCGTGTTCCTGTTATGAAGGACTCTGGTGAGAGGTGGGCGATGTCACTCAGCCGTCACATTGCCAAAAAACGGCCGCTTCCTTAAGATTTGTCTACTTTTTCTCTCGGGAAAAGCGGTGCCCCAGGCTTTGGTCCCGGGTTCGACTCCCCCCTGCGCGTCCCGGAGCCAGTCTGGGGATTAAAGCCAGGCACGTCGCATGGTACCGCGCGTGCGCTTAGCCCGGCGGCACGCGGTACCACACGGTGTGCTTGGCTTCAACCCACACTGCCTGGTTTTCTGGGGAGTAGAAGCTACTAGAATGTGGGGGACCACAAGTCCCATCTCATCACAGCGCTTTGAAATGTTTTACACGTAGAACCTGTGATCTTCATGTCATTTCCTCAGCTCTTCAGGGATCCGCGCGCTTGCTTCAGCCAAACGGGACAGTGCTCCAACCCGCTTGCTGCAGTTATTGAGCATGTCTTTTTTTTGGAACTGAACAAGATCCTTCAAACACTCCTCATGGAAGTGGCTCACAGCACATGCACGAGGTCTTGGGCACCTCTCCCCCCTCTCAGGGTCGGCGGCCGCAGCGAAATCGGGCGCTCCCTCCTACCGGAGGTAGGGGTCTCCTCGTGCGTTCCCACCTCTATCGGAGGCACCTGGAACCTCGTAGGCCACCAGGGAGAGCAGATGCATTTTTGTCGAAATTTGTCAAAATATGTTGCTGGATGTGAAATCGTTTTCAAGGCCCGTGGTGCGAGATATGCTGCCAGAGTCGCCTTGCACTATTAGCACTTTGTGCTTCTGCTTGCTCTCCTTCTCTTCCTGTTCCAGAGAAAAAGACAGGGAAAGAGGAAGAGAAAGCGGAAGATAAAGAGACAGCAGCAGAGGAGGAAGAGAAAGAAAAAACAAAAATAGAAAATGGAAGGGACAGAGAAAGATAAAGAGGACGAGAACGGGCAGAGAAAGAGAAAATGGAAGAGAAAGAGAAAGAGAACAACCAAAGAGAAAAAGGAAGAGCGGGAGAAGAGAAAGAGCAAGAGAAAGAGAATGGAACAAACATATAGATAAAATATGACAAAATGGAAGAGAAAAAGAAAGAGGAATCAGGAAGCGAAAGAGAAAGAAAAGAGCAAGCCTGCTTGCCTGCATCTGCCCTGCACGCCTGCTCGGCCCGCTCGTAGGCGTAAGCCTTGAAATACGGTGGTTTGAGAGTGGATGGCACAAACCCCAAGATGTCTTTTAGATGGGGGTCTAAACATCCTTTCGGGGTTTGTGCCATCTACTCTCAATCCACTATAACAGCTTTGCAACGTTTGTGCCATGCGTAGATTTTAAATCATCTCAAACCAAGTGAACACAAGTGAAAACTGTCTCATCAGGTGGGAATCCCAATGGAACGTATGTTGTCCAAAGCACCAACAACCCCGGTCCTCCCTAGTTCACCCCTGACATCCACTTTTGATCAAACAACCCCCCTTGACATAGACACCCTGCTGACAAGAATATCCAAACAGCACAAGGATGCTTTCCTGGGGGTCCCCGGATTCCATTCGGACCAATGAACAGCACGCCACAGCCCCGACCTCACTGAACAATGACCTGAACCTCTTTTGCTGTGCGGCAGGCAACAGCGACACAAGCCTTGGCGTCTGATTTCACAGGAATCCCGTGCACTGGCACAAACGAAGGAATCTAAGGAATCTGTATCTGAGCACAGCGACAGTAGATAAGTCTATTTTACACAGCTGATCAAGACTCAAGCCTTTGAAGGTTTTGGAGACTCTAAACCCGAAGTATAAGTAACACAGTTCCCGTCTTATATTGAATGCAAATGGATTGATGTCAAACCACCCAGTATCTGAGTGTCTGATTTTGATAAATCATTCATCGATCATGCTGGCATGGCAAGTCTTGCTTCAGAGTAGAAATTTGTCAACAAATATCAACTGTCTCTTCACACAACTGTAAAACAGTAGCAGAAACCTGCATCGCTAGGCGACAGGCTGTTCTCTGTTGGGGATCGCGAGTTCCCACAGAAAGGGTTGGTTCTTTGCTGAGCAAAACCGGAGTTTCACCGATTCCAGTCTGGGCAAAATCCCCTCTCTCCCTGTTGCTCTGGAGATCTCCATCGTGCAGTAGCTCCTCGGGAAGGCCCTTGCTACGTGCTCCATCAGTGCTCCTCTTCGCCAAGACACGGAACCGCTTCCATCTCCTCGGTACACTTGGTGACGGTCCCGGAAGGTCGGCGCGACCCGTTCCGTGTGGGCTCTGCCAGCTACCCCGTTGAACGAAAAATACACAAACAAACAAGCATGCATGTGCAGGGTGTCGTTGGCCTCCATGATGAAAAGCGGATTCCAGGTGCACTTGCTGAACTTTCTCCATCTAGGTTTGTGTGGGCCGGGCTGGGAAACCAAAGCTCATCAGGCAAAGTGAGATGTTCACCTTGTCAAGCCAGGGTCATTCCTTGGAACATCAAGCACACTTCATTAGGAAGCTTTTTGGGAGACGGTCGCTGATCCAAATGCCCCCCCCTTCAAACCTCCACCTCCACGGTTTATCGCGCTGTCCGATTCTGGCCTGCATGAAGAAAGCCTGGAGATAAGGGGATTGTTCCAAGGTATACCTGCCACGAAAGGCACCAGGCTTGTAGGCCAAACCCGAATCACCACATCTCGTGCTTCGGTAAATCCTGCACCAAGAATGGCAAAGGAATATGAAGGGATCTGCAAGCGGGTAGCGCGCCTTTTCCAGCCTAAAAGGGGCTATGTTCGTGAACAAGTTCAAGCTGTACGTGATGCATATAAAGCCTTGCACCCCACTTGAAAAGGCGGGTGTCTTTCTCGGCTTTTCACAAAGGGCTTTCATCCCTCTGTGGCCCAGGGAATGCTTGGAAAGCCGACTCCCGGGCAGGATTTGCAACTCCTCAGTTGCAGATATGGCCTGCTGCGTTGCTGCAGTCGAGGACAGGTGGAATCTACATGAAACACTTCTCTGCCCTCCAGGATGTAAACTTCCGAAAAGCGCCCAGTGTTCCTTTCACACTGGATGGCCACATCTTTGCTCTCGGGCCGCGCCGGCTTGAAGCTCAAGCCCCCACTCAAGGCAAGGTGCCTTCCCACCATGCGAAAGCACCACCACAAAGCCGTGCCCTGCATGACCAGCAAAATGCCAAAGGCCACTGCAAGGTCCGTGAAGATCCAATCAAATCCCCACTTTGATGCTTCTGTATTGGGCTCCTCAGTCCTCACTCCCTCAGCGCTTTGCAAGAGAGTCAGCATGGCCATGACAAGGGCCTGCTTGCTGAACCCGCTGAGGGCGATGGCGTTGATGCTCTCAACATGCTTCTTGCTCTCCTGCTCGTAGGCTGTCTCCTCCTTCAGCCCGATGCCCAGTTTCAACCTCAGCTCATTGAACCTTTTCACTGCCAAAGCCTTGGTGCCGAAGTCTGCTGTGTTGTCTTGGCTTGGCACAGCATGCAAGCTGAACAGCTTTCGATGCAAAGCATCTTGCACCCACAATGACTTCACTTCGAGGTGTCGAATCCTCCCAACTCCCTGGCGCTGGAACACGCCACGGGCTGCGCTGCTGTCAAGGTAGACCTCCATCTGGAGCGGGAAGCCGATGAAGGCAAACACTTCCTTCATGAACAATCCCTCACTGCAGGCAGCCACGCCACCATTGAACTCAGCTTCGCCAGACGACAGGCAAAGCATCTGGAGGCTCCTGGCGTAGCTGAACAGCAAACAGCCGCCAACCTCAAACATCGCACAGGCACAACTCTTCCGGGTCTTCTTGCAGTTTGCCCAGTCTGTGTCTGAATGCACCTTCAGAATCTCGACTTCACCATCCTTGGGCAACCACACGCCATAGTCCTTTGTGCCCTGCAAGTAGCGTGCCAAACGATGCAGCTTGTGAAGGCTTCCATCTGTAGGCTCCTTCATGTCCTTGGTCAGCTCGCGAACAGCGAACTGTACATCTGTCCTGTCGTAGGAGAGGTACAGAGCAATGCCAACCCCTGCCCTGTAGATCCTCAAGCTCTCCCCACTCAACTTGTTGCCCTCCTTGACCTCCGAGCACAGGTATGGTGTTGGAGCCGGATTGCACTCTTCCAAACCCAACATCTTCAACAAGTCACTGATGTACTTCCCACGGGGTGTCAGGAAGATGCCGCCATCCATGACCTCACGAGTCCTCTTGAGGTGCGTCCACTTTTCTCCCACGCTGTTCTCATGGATCTGACTCTTCATCTTGATCTTCTCATGGAGCTTCTTCTCCAACTCCAGCAAAGCTGCTCTTGGTCCGGTGGCATAGAAGTCGTCCATATGCACTTCCATCAACACGCCACTGGCCGGATTGTAGAACATCCAGGGTGCTGCTGGGTTCCTCTTGAAGTCAATCTCCTTGAGATGCCCAGCTGCCCATTCCACAAAGGCCTGGCCAGCGATGCGTCTGCCATACCACTCAGTGTTGAGCTTCCAGACCACGCGATCAGGTAGATCGACTCCGCTATCTGCCATCTTCTTCAACCACTCCTTGGGAGGCTTCATGTAGGCTTCTTCTGCAATTGGCACCTGCCAGAATGCATTCTCCGCATCAGCTGTCAAGAAGCTGTAGCCCATCTTGATGCCCACAATGTCAATGACCCTTGACGTTGAGGTACTGGATGCCACCGCAAACACATCAGTGCGCGGGTCTCCCCGCTTGAACTCTCTCACACAGTACCTGCACCTCACCGAGCCATCTGGCTTCCGGGTTCTGACCCAGACAGCATCCAGGATCTTCATGCCATCCTTCTGCTCCACAGGGTCATAGGTCTGGTACTTGTCCATCTTGCGGAATTCCTCTGCATCACCTTCATCCATTTCTTGCCTGCTCAAAGGCTTGCTCTCCTCATTGTCTGAGTCCTCATAGGCCTGGTCCACGTCATCCTCGCACACAATGGTGTCTTCTGTTGGCGAATACAATGAACCCACAAAGATTCCAGCCACGCGAGCTCTCTTGGCCTCTGGAGTCATCTCACCAGACTCTCCTGCCCACGCCCGTCTTGCAGACATGCCCAAATCCATAGGTGCTGCCTCATCACCGCCCACATCAGCCGTAGGTCTTGACGCCGACGAAGGACCTGATTGTACAGGAAAGTCTCCCTCGTCCTCCTCTTGGATGACCTCCCCACTCGGCTCCAGCCTGGGGCTCTTCTTGGCCGCCTCTTCGGTCGGGATCAGGTTTAGAGTCTGAGGCAAGGCGATGTCGGCCTTCCTCTTTGGCCTGCCAATGGTTGTGCCCATGTCCCACGGCACACCGATCATCTTCTCCATCAACTCTCTGTTGTAGCGCCTGCTGCTGTCAGCTAATCTGCGCACACTCCTGGCAGTCACTGTCCCATCTTCAGTTCCCAGCAGATACTCATTACTGGTCACACTTCTCCCAAGGAAGATGCCCTGACGCCATGCCGTCTCCCCTTTGGGCACCACTGCCCTGTTGTGGGATCTTCTGGCCTTACTCATAGGGATCTTGAAGAGCACAGTCTCACCAAAGGGCACCAACTGCGAGGTGTATGCCGTGTCGAAGGCATCCTGATATGCTGTCCTTTGGTTACCCTTGACGCTGAACCTGCTTTTGATGAATGAACACCACCTCACCAGCCATGGCCACAGGTTGTGAGAGGTGTGGAGCGTGATGCCATAGCTAGCTTCTGTCTGGTACCTGAAGGTCAAGACATCACCACGGAGCAACTTCTGGAATGCTCCCATTGTTCCAAGGCTCTGAGATGAATACCTTGGCACTTCCTCAAATTGTATCTTGAGTCCTTCAGCTCCTGGAGCTTTCCCTTCTCGCAAAGCACCAGCTATCTTGGCAACGATCTTCTTGATCACAGGCTCATTGTCGCTTCGGAGCTTCACCTGCATGTAGCCCAGCTGTGCTATGAAGGATGTCACGGTCTTGATCACATAGGGTGTCTCCAGGTTCTTGCCAGGAATGGACATTGCCAGGGCCATCCCGGTGCCACTATCCACGATGGAGAGGATCGTGTCTGAGCTCTCCTCAAACCGCTCTGCAATGGATGTATCCGTCTTGAGAAAGCTATAGTCCAGCTCGAAGTGGTTCTCGGCCAACTTCTGCTCCATTGTCCTGCGTCGATGAGGATCATCCATTGCATGGCCTCTGGCGCAAAACTCACACCAAGGTGCTGGCGGCAGATGTGTGATCAGGTGCCGTTCAACTTCCTCCGTGTCCGGCTTCTGAGGTACCGGCACATAGGAGACATCAGGTTCCCTGCCCTCACGCAAGGCTTGCTGTCGGGCAGAGTTTCTCTCAACATAGTCTCGTGCCCGTGCCCTCCTGATCGACAAAGCTCTTTCTGCAGCCTGCAACCTCTTCCACAGGGTGTGCTTGTCACCATAGATAGGCTCCTTGAGCTCTCGGAGTCTCGCTCTCATATCCTCCACCTTGCTCCATCCGTGTAGCCGTGGACGGTCTGCTCGAGCATGGGCCTCATCCTCTGCAAACTCAGGTGGGATGGGAACCATCTCAATCCCTTCTCCCTCATCTTCGATGCCTGCATACTCCCACTCATATTCCTCTCCTTGACCTGCCACAGGTGCCACCACACCAGTGTTCACCGTGAAGTCCATGGGGATCGTCTCATCGTCCCGCACCTTGACATAGTAGGAGTTGCAGTGGAGATACAGAGGAATCTTGAAGTCCAGCTGAGGGTGTGTGAGGAAAGGCTTCATGGGATTCCTCATGTCAGCTGCAAAGCCATTCCTACTCATCTTCCCAGCACTCAGGACATCCTTACTGGCTTGCTCACTGACCTTGAACTCCGTGACCGCATTCAGGAACTTGTTGTCCTCGCCAATGATCTTGTAGTTCACCTTCTTCTTGCCAAGTCGTCCAAGGCACTGTCCTGAAATGCCCATCAGTTTCACCTCACTCTCCTCAGTGTGGCGATTGCCGCCAAAGCTAGGCCGACATAGGTGCTCATCACTACCTGAATCCCACAGGAGGTACTTGATCTCCTTGTCAGGCGACTGGGATGCCAGCAAATGCCAGTCCGATGGCTGCTTGCTTCGGTGAATCATCATCACCCACATCTCATCTGAGTACTCATCCTCGATGTCAAAGACGTCCTCGGCGTCTGCCCAGTTCACACGCTCTCCATCACCAGGCAGCCAGTAGTACACTGCATTGGTGCTCTGTCCACCACCGGGGGATGCAGATCCAGTTGCCGATGACGATGCCGCTGTGATGGCATTGGTGCTGCCACCCTTTCCTTTTCCCTCACGCTTGGCCTTGTCTTTGGCCAGCAAGCGGCAATCAGCTTTCTTATGCCCCCATTTTCCGCAGTAGGAGCACTCACCGTTGAACTTCTTTGGAGGAGGTGGCTTTCCCTTCTTGTCGAACTTACCACCCTTGTTGACTCCTTTGTCATTCTTTGACTTGCCGCCCTTCTTGCCCTTGTCAAAGGACACTGCACCGACATCCATGGGTGCTGCTCCACCATCGTCTTTGCCCAACTCGCCCTTGGCGTTGTAGTATTGCCCTGCTTGAAGGAAATCTCGCACAAACTTCTTTGCTCGCTCATAGTTAGTCCCAACTTGAGCTCCAGCAGTCCTCAAGGCTGACCTCAGTGACATGGGCGCATGCTTCATGAGGACCGCAATCTTTGTGGAGTCCGAGACATGCTCCTTGGCTTGGATCTCATAGCGCCTCGTCAGCACTTCCCAACTCTCCAGGGATTCCAGGAAATCATTCTCCTTGACAGTCTCCCATGCCGGGGCGATGATGCTCATCAGCATGGCTGTATGTCTTCCTCCAACGTCGGGCTCATAGGCCTCACAGAGGGCCTTCCAAGCCTGGAAGCCATTTCCATTCTCCACATTCATCAACACCTGTAGGGCTCTGCCATCAACGCTCTGGGTGAGGAGGTTGAACAGGATGATGGCTTTCTCCTGGGCGTGCTGCCCCATATCACTCAGGATCAGGTCGCTGTACCGGTTGGCATTCTCTGCAGCCTGGATGAGGGCCTGGTAGCTTGTATCCAGCAAGTTGAGGTACCCTCTCGCCACGAAGACCCAGGCTGCCCATTCTTCTTCTTTGCCTGAAAAGCTTTTCAACTTGCCAATGGCTCTGGTGTCAATGAGACCACTGGCGCCAACCTGCTGAGCTGGAAGGGCTGGCTGAGCTTGCTGCTGCTGAGCTTGTTGTTGAGGTAGAAGACCTGCTTCAGCTGCCGCTGCCAGGGAATCGCCGAGCGAAAATGCACCTGGCGGGGTGAGCGGCGCAGCATTCGAAGCCATGGGCGCTGCTTGACACCTCCACTCGGGGAGGAATTACACCGAGCCCACACCACAACGTGGATTTACAGGGTGTCCGCCACGCAGGCGCCCGAGCGCGGGTCTTACCCTGTCTAACAGGGGACCCGGAGCAGGAGCTCACCCTGCTCCGCTACCATGCAAGCGGGTAGCGCGCCTTTTCCAGCCTAAAAGGGGCTATGTTCGTGAACAAGTTCAAGCTGTACATGATGCATATAAAGCCTTGCAGGATCCCTATTTTCCCACACAAAAAGGGAAGAAACTAGCAGACCAAAACGGATTCTTACATGCTCATGGCTCAAAAATGCAACCCCCCAAACTCACTATTTATAAAGTTTAAAGGAAAGCTTGTCTACAACCTGTCAGTTCCTGGGTCATTCTGGTGAGCCACATTCCGACATGGTTTCCCAATCAGTTCCAGGCTGTTCGATGGTTTTCTTCCGAAGATGGGGGTCTTCCGGGATCCAGAGGCATTCGGTGGCATGAGGCATTCGGTAGGATTGGTGATGTGAGGATCTAGTGGGCTCGTGAGGATCCATAGGCTCATGAGGATCTAGTAGTTGAATCCATGTGGGATTCATGCAATATGATGTACTTACTGTAAATGCCATAGGATGCTTAGGCAAGTTGGTGTCATGTAGGTCCTTGTTTTGAAGCCACTGTGTAGAATTGACACTCTAGCTGTGACAAACCCGTGCGTTTCTATTGTATAATGATCTGATCTTCTGTCTGGCTCGCATTATATGAATGCATAATATATACGCGTCTAGAACACCACGGCCACCACGGGTTTGACAAACCATTCAACTATCCAAGAAATTCAAATTACCTTGATCAGTGTGGGAGCATTGCCTAGAAATGAGTAGGTGTGCATACACCACTGAACACCAAAACAAAAAGGGTGCCCAACAGTAGGTCTCCCCATCTCACGGGTGAGACCGATTGCCCCGGAGCTTCAGCATTGGTTCTCTCTCCTTGTGCACTCCCATCCGTCCACCCCTCCGTCCAGTCGCCTGTCTGTCAGCTCGATGAAGGCATCGCACAAGTGCCTCAACCCAGTGCCGTGGCGCTTGTAGCGAAGAACATGGAGAGGCCACGCGAAGAAACCAGGGGCAAATCAGCTTTTGGATGCTTTTAAAACTTTTAGATCTTTGATCTTTTAGTGTGTTTTGTTTGGAACCGTTTTTAGCAGTGCAACATCTGGCGCGGACACATCTGGCGACTCCAAGTCGGCTTTCGCCCGCCTCTTAGCCGGGTTAGCCATTCCCCCTCCACTGTCAAGCACCGAGGGTCTGGTTTTTCAAGACTGTCAAGCACCAGAAGGTAAATGTTGACCGAATGTATGCCCCCTAATGGACCTGCTTGACTTCAGGCCTGCAGGGTCCCTGCGAGCACAAGAAAATGCTCCATGAATCTGAATAAGGATCTCTACTCCAGCAAGGATGCTTCAGGTCCCAAAGTTATGTGCCCCAAGGAGGAATGATTTATGTTGACTCATAAATGATTGCACTTTGCTCTTGTATTCTAAACCCGAATACGTGCCAAGTGTCTGTTGTTTCATGTTGTTTCTGTGCACCCCAATTCCTGCTTTCACAGAAACACATTTTAGTTTTCTGAGTGAATTCCGCGACTTGAAGACATAGTATGACCTAGAGGACGCAGGAGATTCTCCATTGCCGATCCCACTGAAAACCCACAACTGGGACCTCAACAAAAGGCAACAACACCCGTCCTGGTACAGAATCTTTGCGCGTCAGTTCTTTGATCAATCGGCCCATGTAGGTCTATGGCATCCCGCTACCCAGATCGCGCCTAGTCAAACGCTCAAGTGCACTCCTCAGCGAGAGACTGGATGAAACGCGACAAAAGTGGCTTGGTACGACACTTGATACGACGCGGCAAATGTGATCGCGGCAAAGTGCTTATTCGCTTCAACTTCGGAGCCAACATTCTTTAGCAGTATGTCTTGTTCAGAGAAACACACTGGTGGGCCAACCAAACTCCGGTTTGTAGCAACATCCTTAAAGTTTAGATCTGCTTTTGCAGTGTTCAGTACCCCGTGGCTCACACACTGATGGTCACTTAAGCCAACGGCGGGGGGGGCTCTCTCTGATCTGCCATGCCACGCTCGTGCCAGCGCGGTTTCTTGACACCGGACATCTTCGCCCTTCTCTAGAGTGTGGCTCGCGACCTATGCAAAGGTTGGTCCAGAACAGTCTGGAGGGGATTTGGATCGGCTCAACAGTCTGGTTCATTTCTCTACTTCGTCTCTCAAGTACGGGCAGCCGATATATGCATGGGTCATGCTGGCTCCTAAGAATTCCCTTGACGCAAATAGGGTTGGACTCCGAACGTCTAGGTCATGCACCGGTCATGCTGTGTGATCCCACACCACTCGATGTACAAGCGCAAGTACCGTGAAACCACTTGTACGGAAGCCAGTCCATGTGGGATGTTTGTGCTCAAGAAGCTGTACCTCGGTACCTCGCTAGCGTCCATGCCAAAATCTAATCTATATAACCCTTTCCAGTTCCCTCTCCAACAGCTTACCAACAGGTTGTCTAATGTCTTGGCCTGTGGTGATGAGATACTTTACCCATGAGCATATATGGGAAAGAGATATCCTTGCCTGTTTCAAGTGGGGCTCCCTTTCCTGCCTGCACTGGTTTCTCATCTCTTTGAATTGTCAATTCAAAGCATCGGCGTAGAATCACTTCCTCGGCTTTCTTGACGACGCCGTGCGCCGTGCGCCGTACGGCCGTACGGCGCACGGCGTAGAGAGCTGCTTTCGGAGTTCGCAGGTCCGAGAGGTGTCCTATATATAGATCAAATACTACTAGTAGCGGACACCTTGTATTAGAGGATGACTTCAATGGGATCAAATAGTATGCGGGAAGCCTGTTTCAATGACTTGACAATCTTGGTCCCACATGGAGTGTGGGTGGCAAGCGCCAGGGGTAATTACGCATAACGTTCATTCGTCAAGCTTCCAACATCGGAGGTGTGTGCGACGCCTGTTGTCTCAAGTGTTGAGAGTCGACTTTTACATACAAAGAACTGTGAGGACTGCACTAACTCCCTATGCAGTGTTCTCCATCTTTGATCACTTGATCATTCAGAACTTGTCAATCTTCAGGTGGACTGAACGTAACGTTCATCTCAATAGGGTTCATAAACATATGATTTGCACCTCTGCCAATAGCTGGAGTTCCGTCCTCAAACTGAATGTTCATTCGGTGCAAAAAGAAGTTCATAGGGTGCAAATGCAAGCAAACCTCTACAGTGTGCTCCATCCACTTCTCCTGTATGTCACGAAGGGGTTGTTGCATCCCCGTTTCCCTGAGGCTACATTTCACGTCTGTGTCCTCTCTGTATATGCATTCCTGACACAGTGACAGCGAATATTTGTATAATGTGTACATTTCTAATAAGCATCTATACTGTAACTAGATGTAACTAGTAACTAAAATATACGGTGCACATTGCACACATGGCACAGTGAGCACCCAACAGCACCGCATAATCAAATTGCGGCGTCATATAAAAAGTGTTTAAAAAAAACTGCAAACCCAGATCATATCCACTGTATAAAAAACATCCATATAAATACTCTTCACCTGCAGGCTTCCGAACTCTTAAACTTAGACTCTGACCGCCTTTCACTTCAATAGTTGAATGAATGACAATGAGCAATATGGCAAAAAGAAAACTACTGCTCAAATAGTAATATATATATATATGTTAATCATTATATGCACTATAATCTAAACCATCCCTCTGCAGCACCAAGAGTCTCTTTGGTGCACAATGACCTGGGCCTCAATCACTCACGATGCTCAAGTGCATAAGAGTGAATGCGTTTAAAGGGTGGAACTTTAGTCTTGGATACGGTCACTTGCTCCTGAAGCTCGCGCTTTCCAAGACGCCATATATTATTACTATTACTCTGGTTGATTGATTTGTTTTGGGGAGCATAAGGAGGTTTGCCAAATACCACTGGTAGTAGACCCACAAATGAACAGTGGTTTCAACAAATGATGCAAAGGCTGCAAGATGTTTCAAGCTTCTTTCAACAAACTGCCAACAAAAAGCAATGATAAATCCAAGGATGTTCCAACTAGTTTCAATAAAAAACCTTGAGCAAAGTCAATACCTGAAAGATAAGTCTTTGTGTTTGAAAAGAACCCCCTTCCCTTTCAGCACATTCAACACATGACATGTTCGGTGACCTATTTTAGCAGTTGCATGGGGTGATCCACCAAACTTAGAACAACAATGTGAAGGCTTCTTCATAGATTTATGATACCAAACCCACCCAACAAAATCTCTGGACTTGGTGTTTGTCAAGCTGAACGATTTCCACTGGGTGTCCAAAACATCTGACGAATGAACGAGTGCGGATAGCGCGGTTGGGGTATGCATTAGCATCAAAATAGATAGGCCAGCTCCCTTTTGTACGTTACCAATACTAATATGATCAGTGAGGAATGTCAAGGTGAACAAGAAAATGATTGTCCTTTGTTTTTTGCCCTGAACAAAACATTTGAGTAGGACAGCAGGACTCAAAAGGGTTGGACGCACACACCGTGGTTATATATGATCTCTTCCACGAATCCAAACCAGAGCAGTGAATCACATTTCAGCGTGTGTTGGAAGTTCGGTGCTGAGGGGCTGGCTTATTCACTGGAAAACGATACCGGCAGAACAAATGGTTGTGGTGGGAGACGTCAATGATTCTTCCAAGCAGCAATGACAGCAGCACATAGGACCACCAAACATTGCCTGGGCGGGCTTCCCGTCTCCAAAATTAATTGCCCCTTCATCCGTTCATTGCCCCCATTGCAATCTGCAACACACCCAAAACTCACGTTCACCAGGCTTTGCTTGCGCAGTCGTATTCTTCCAGCTAACTAATCTTCCCACCCATTCAGTACAGCCTTCACAGTGTTGATCACCCAGCGGCAAGTGAAATTGATTGCGAAACATCCAACGGTGAACGCAATGACAAACGAACGACTCTGCCATGTGTCCAGCCATCATACCAACTGCGAAATGCAATCGCTGCAGCCACACAGGAAGCAATAGCTGAACCCGCCACATATCGAAACCTTCCAGGGAAGGTCTGGTCTCTCCACTTTGAGAGTAAAGTCGGGTCTTGGCACTTTTACATACTACCTGAAAACCCTCAAGCCACGCTCTGCCCTTGCCATGGTCTCAGTTGTCTGTGACAATTTGTGTGCTCGTACTCGTTTTCAAAGGTTCACAGAAACTACTCTTGGCCAGCACACAGGATGGGTGGCTTATAGACCTGGCTATGTATGGTCCATCCAATACTGTAACCACCCAAACTGGGTGCTGCTGGAGTATAGGCGTTTTGTATAGATGCTGGGATGTCAAAGAATCCAAAGAACCACCCAAACCAACACTGTGTCCTCGAAGTCACACAGTCACGATGATCCGATGTACAGTGTACGTTGGTGGGTGCAGAAGTTGAGCCATGAAAGAATAAGGCCAAAAATGGAAAATACTTGTCTCTTGTTTTTCTTCATTGACGGTCTATGCTACACGGACGTATATGTTTTGTCAAGTGTTATTCAAAAGCCATATATGAGGTGCTCTTTAGTGTTCATACCTCAAAGAATCTTGAGAGCGGCAACATAATAATCTCTCAAAATCAAGCTGGGCAATCACCTGGCTGGTGGAAGAGAAGAAAACTGTTGTTTTCAAGGAAACCGGGTTTTGGGCTGGAAGGCTTCTCTGAACCGGGTTTTGAGATTGTAACCGTTTTCTTAAGGTTATGGATTCCCAAGGTAGAAAGTGGATATCTTTCAATACCGCTGCACTCTGTTGCGCAAATACTTTAAGATTCCTGGATGTTTGGGCCACTGAAATGATCCCCTTTGAGTTCCAGGTCGCGCCCGGAAACGGTGCCGGGCTCTGATGTTCGGTCGCGTGAGGTTCGCAGAGGTCGCCAACAAGGATCCCAAAGCGTGCCATGCATGGAATATACAAGCAAATTGTGTGACCCATCAGATGACTATTCCATGGACTGATTGAAGTTTCGAAACTCCATATTTTTTTTTGTCCAAACCCAAACCCCGTGAATCATGAATTCGGTCAAGTAAATACACGACATGATCCTCCTCACTCCCGACTCCTCTCAGTCTACTACCCGAATCCCTCATGATTCGACTGCTCGACTCGACTCGTGGACGTTGCACCTGGAGAGCCTCACGGGCAGCAAGGCACATGACAGCAACAAGCAGCTGGGCACCAAAGAGGCGCCCAAAACTTCCTGCGCCGACGAACGCCACGGTGTCAAACGGGCAGGCGGTGCCGCACTTTCGGGGTTCGGAGTCACGAGTGCTCCGTAAATTGCCAAGTATTGCCAATGAATAATAGGATGAAAATGGGCCTGGTGCCCTCAACGCAGTTCTTCGTCTAATCCAAGTCATGTAGTCGGGGTTGAAACATGTTGAAACCACCTTGACAAGGCCAGGGCGTATAGCTTCGGCGCGTGGAATCCAATTGACTCCCAAGTGCGCTTCATCGCAAAGCGGCGTCCGCAGAAAAACTCGCCTGCACAATGTATAGCACTTAATGTAGACTCTTGACCCTTGATTAAGAACCCCCCATATGTGAAGATGCGTTCAGTTCAAGTGTGTGCGCGGGGCATTTAGCAAGAGTCTACAGACCCGCAGTGTCTCGCCTCATTGGCGTACTCTGCACCGCTTTGCCATATTAAGCCGGAACCATTCAACTTGCCCGTCCTCAATCTGCACGTCGTCACGCCCGGATCCTCGATTTTCGAGAACAACCTGAGGATGACGACGCATCGGCACCGTGGAGTGCTCGTCCTTGTGTATTCCAGGGGCAGTAGGTGGAAATGATAGACTGTAAGAACAAACATGGGGATACAAGAATACTGTATATACTAGTAGTCAAATTACTCAACAGGTTTAATGTAAAAGTAATTTACTTCGAGTGCTCCCCACAATGACATTTCAATCATTTGTATTGCGTGTCGTGTGATTGTGGTTATGTTGTGAGTTGAATTGTGTTGAGGACTAGTGCCCGCTTGCTGTTGAGGTCCGGTATAGTGCCCACTGCGATCTCGCACTTGCCGTTGAGGTCCGGCAGTGCCCATTGCGATCTGGCACTTGCAGTTGAGGTGCGGTAGTCAAGGAGGAGAGGAGGAGGAGGAAGAGGAGGACAGGAGAAGAAAAGCTGTACTAAAATCTAACTACCCTCACCTGGCAGGTGGGGAAACATATGAGAGGGGAGCGCCGGCTCCCCCTAATATATATCCAGAACGGCAGGCCCTGGAAGTGCACTTTTTCACCTATTTTGAGTGATCTGGAGGTGCATTTTTTCGTTAATTTCAAGGATCTACTGAGATTAATTCACAGCACCAATACCACCAACGACATCTCAACTGCTGTACTCTGAAAAATGCATAGGACCTGAACAATGCATAGGACTATTAATGTTGAATCTTGTGGATGGTAAATTATGAATAATCTCAGACTCACCTATATCACCATCAAAATCTTCACCATCATTAACATTAGGCTTACTAAATAATGCTTCCGATCTTATGTTGAGTTTCATATTATGATTATTTTAAAGACATTCTATAAGTAATGATTGTTGATGTTGTATCATTGATAAGCCTTGTTCTCCTTTGAAGCGCTTGTTTATGAGCTTAAGATTATCGGCATATTTGTTTAAAAGCTGATTTTCTTTTTTCTACCCTAGCTGAACTTTTTTTTGATAGCATATTTGGTTAGGGCTTTCTTCATGCCCCAAATAAATTATCTTATGGTCGTAACTTCAATATTCATTAGTTTTCTTCACTGATTCATTGTTCAATCTGCTTGAGATATCTTTGTTTTTGTTATATCTGAATGTTTGATTGCCAATAACTATTGATTTTAGTTCTTTGTTGCCCTTTTCTGGTATTTCTGCTTTATCAGTTTTAAGCAAATAATATAGACTTTTTCATAATATACTACTATGTATGTTATACATTAACTGCTCTTTACGTATGTATTCAATAAATTTATAATCAAAGATATATTAATTTGTACTATTAGGTGATTTTAGGAATTCTTGGGATACCAATATATTAATATTCAATGAGTATACATGGGGAAATACTTGTGTTAAGCCAAAACTAGCAGATCAAGGCAAACATGTCAGATAACTTAGTAGAGCTCAAAAATTGGTGAAACAGTGCACTTCCACAGCCTGCCGGACTCTATATATATATATATATACATGCTGTGTGCATTCATTCATAATCTATGATAATTATACTGTATACTTATCCTGCAGAAACACAAAAGGACTTCCCCCAAGGTGTTCCGCTGTGGAATCACTATTAGTATCTATTAGGTGTGCCATTCTCCAGATTTACCAAAGCATATCGACGGTCACGTGAGTGACTGACCGCCTATAAAAAAACAGTAGTAGAAGTTTCGGGGCTGAACATTTTCCTTCACATGGATGTACTCAGGGCAGGGAAACCTTCGAAAAGGCATTAGAGAAAGGAAACATGAACACCCATATCATAACTGGCAAACATGTCATCCAGCTATGGACAATCCCCACAACAATTGCCAAGACGCCATCAACGAACTGCCTCGGAAGTAAACAGGCAGGAAACGGGCTCGGACTTTGGGCAAGTAAGGGTCATGTTGTGAAACAACTTTTTAGAAAAAATAATTGGTCGGATTGGTATGGACCAGTGTTTTGATCCTCACTGATATCAAACCAAGGAATATTATAAACTATAAACGCTATAAATAATTGGATCGATATGCCATAATGGATCGAGCGGTGACAAAGTCCATACTTTGGCCTTTTCCTCGGTGCTGTTTTCTACATTCGCACCGAAGGAAAGTACAGTGATTGAATCAATGCTTCCCACCCCTCGTAGACGTCCCAGAGCGTGCAAGTCCAAAATGAGCTGGCCGTCCAGTTTCTCGGAAGCAGTCTCGGGGCTGGCAAAAGCACATGTGCTAACCAATTTCGCTCAAATGTTTTTTGCACAAATACTAGTACCGTCCAAACATGTCCAAACGCTTTGCTGGAGCTCTATTGAATTGAACTTCATCAACTATATATGGGCTGGGGATGGGCTGTCTACGCCGTCGGAAACGCAGCACGGCGGTGGGTCGGACACGTCGCAAGAACTTGGTTCACGTTGATCACCCACATGGCTTTGTAGGGAAATATCAGGGGCTTTGTGCGATTGATTCACTTGTAGTGGGTGGTCAGTTTCTGCGGTCCGCTATCTGGATTCATGTCTCACCACAGTGACCCGACCAAACCCCGCCACACCCGACCCAGCGCAGGCCATGAGGTTTCACCGTGTTGCTGTGTGGCAGAAGCGAGAGCTGCGGCGTGGCCAGGCACATGATGCCGGACGCCAGCACCTCGGCCAGGGCGACGGAAGAGTCATTCCGGCGGTGCAAGTGGAGTGTTATACATTACATGTCCAATTGTCTTTAATGAGAACAGGTAGGCTCATCAAAGGTGGGTTCATCAAACCAGGCAACAAATAACACGTATATTATGACTGATCCAAGAAGAATCCTGTCATATCCTATCCTGGTATCTAGTTGGGTTGTATGACTGATCCACGCCTCTTCAGTTGAATTGGTGCGCAAATGGTCTCTCCCGGTGATTACTGTTTGTTTTTGATAAAGCCCGCGGAGCGGTGAGTTGTTTCGTTTCGACCACTTGAGAGTTGGGCTGATTCGACCAAGTTGTGTTGGGGCACAGGCTTTCCCAAGGAGCGCTAAGCGGCTCATGCAGGCTAATTCTCCGCTTTTCAGACCCCAACTGGCACAGAAAAGGCACAGCGAAGACCTCCGCACCTAAAGGCCCAGTGCCGCAGCGGCAGAGAAAAGCAATGATTGCCCAAAAGACCTGAAGGCCAGGTGCATCTCTACAAACGATTGGGTTTCATCTGACGAAGAAGGCGGGGATCTCCATAGCTAGGCTAAGGTGTTCTGAATTCTCCATTGGGAAAAGCAGGAAAAAAGGCATTAGCTATCTCAATTTGAGTAAAGGGTACCTTTGGGATTGCCTCGAGAGGAGCCCAACCAATTCTATTTCATACTTCAGTGTGCATATGACGAGGTACCTCAGGGATAGCAAATGGAAGAGTCTGTCAGTTTGGAAGCAACAAAGTTGCTACATTTCGCGAACTCAGAAGTATTCGCTGATAGAACCCTCACAGCGAAGTGATGTGGAAAAAACACTCACGAGTGCCACTCTGCTTCAACTTTGGGGAGTTTGGCGAACAGTTCTCAGACTCCGGCAGTCGTGATTGCTGTGGTGGTTGTGATTTTCATCTGTACCACGTTTGAGCACCTTTGAGCGTTCAAGTTATATTAGACATCCTTCTGAGAACCATATGAGTGAAAGAAACAAGGACTTGTCTCGATCCAGTAATTGGGTTTGGGGGACTATATGGACGCCTTGCTGCTTGACGTCATCTCCAAAGGATCGTGGTCTGCCAAGATATATAGAATGTCTTGAGGTCTACAAGATCTACAAGCCCCTTTCGTGCCTTTCCATAAGCACTGCTCGCTTGATAAAGGTCAACAAAGACCAGTTTTGAAAACCGTTGAAGCGTTAGCGACCCAATCCGTTTGATGCTTGACAACCAGTGCTATGTTGCTGTGCAACACAACACTACCTGCCTTAGTAAAAGCAAACAAAATCATCTTTGCATGTCAACTCTGCGATGCAATCGCAATGGTGCTTTGGCAGTCGCAACATGTGATTAGACTGGATAGGACACTCAACATCTATCTTCTGGGGTGATCAAAGAGCGATGTAACTTTGCACCGTGTTCCACCTAAAACACTCTCTCTTCTGTCTTTTTCGAGATGGCAAGGCCTGGCTTCAACGCTCAACACACGAAACATGTGGCTCGCCAAGCATCCGGGAGCGTGACTTGTCCAACCTGCTCCGCAGGGGACAAATCCTCCAGTAAGGACAGTGCAATGGCACTCAATGCCTTGAGGCGCCCGGTTCTGGGCGACCGCTGACGTTGAGCGAGTGCTAAGAACCACTCACTCCGACCCCAAAAATAACACCCAACTGAACGGATTGGAAAGGTGTGATCGGCGATGCCACGTCGGACAGCCTGGACAGCGTGGGATGTCATCCATCGACGTCTCCGTTCATCCATGGAACACTATGTCACTATGTGTCATTGGGTGTGCTTTTGGTTGAAGCCAGGTACCCCGGGTGTACATTGATGCTGTGTTTTTTCTTTTTTGATGCTCTACATCAAATGCATCTGCCCACATGTTTTTGTGCCAGCATATGGTGGACACATCATGTTGAGTCTGATGTCCATGACATCGATGATGTATTCTACCAGTTGGCGAACGAATCTGGATAAATATTATGTGCGTGTAGTCCCTCGCAAACATTCGCAAACAACAGCAAACGACCAAGAGGCTTCGAGGTCCGTGCCGGTCTAAATGGCGGGTGCATGTTCTTTGATTCCCCCACCCTGCTGCACACACACCCCACTCATGACCGCCGAGATGCAGCTTGCATTATACACCAAAATGTAGCCAGAAAGGATAAACTAGACATGATCTCCACCTCGCGCCATTTCAGGAATTTGGTCCTGAGTTGTCACGCTGAACTTGATGAGGGATCAATTAGGGAGTCCGCCCTTGGTACGAAAGCTGACCTCAATTGGTCGATGTCCTCGATGTCCTGTGTATGCTGAGGAAGTGGGATGCAATATCAACAATATCAACAGTTGTGGTACACAATTAGAGGGAATGGACAATAGATGTCGTTCCTGCCGATGTCGTTCCTGGATGATACAGTTGGTTCACTTGACTTCACCACCCTGGTTTTGGCCGACCGTCGTGCCCCATTCCTGCCGCGGCAGACCTGCGTCGTTGGGACGGTTCCTGGGGGCCGTGAGATTGGTCCGTTGGGACTCCTCGGTCGACTCTTCGATGTCAGAATTCTCTCAGAAAAAGGCCGCACGACGTTCGGTCGCCTTCATGGTCCCGCAACTTCTCGCGATGAAAGCAAAGGCCTCCAAGTTCTGAGCTCAATCAAATCACCGACTGTCACACAGAAAGAACACAACTATACGGTCTATATGAGTTTGGGTGTCTCGAACACAAGCCAAACGCAAGTTGCTGACCCTACCTACTGCAAACCAAGCCTGGAGTCTTCGGTCATCAGCTCTCCTATGCTCTCCTCGTGTCTCCAAACATCTGTGACTCAGCACGGACACCGCAGCTCTCCTGTCTCCATCCCCTCCGATCCGCTCAAAACCCGATGAAACAAGGGTCTCAAAGCTCTTGTTGCTCGTCCTTCCTCAACCCGCGGAAGGTGTCCGACAGGACGGTGGGTGGTTGATAGACAGGGCTTTCTCGGTCCAAGCCACGTGCCACACGAATCCAGAATCCCGAGATAAGTATGACTATAGTGGGAACCAGGTGGTTTGTAAAGGAAATGGAGAATGATGGTTCCTACATAGTTTGTATATACTTTTGTATATACGTGTGGCTTTTGAGAAGCTTTCCCTGCTTTCGTAAGGTCACTGTGCTTCTCACATACAACTAATGCAAAACAAACAGATCCAAGTAGGAGTATGTGTTGCTCCGTGACCGCGTGAATCCGTGTGAATCTGTGAGAGATGTCGTTTCTCCATCCATTAATGACATGAGCTTTGTAAAACCCCAAGCAGCTAGTGCTTGTGGACCATCATCCTTACAAACACGACGATCCAGCAAAGACAAACTCCAAGTGGTTGATATAGCTTCACACTCTCTTCATTCCTACACACACACACACATTTTTTGGTTTTCCTAAGACATGACATGTCAGTGATATATCAGTGATGAATGCTGAACATATGGTCTTTCTAGAGGCACATTGTACGTGTTGGATTGACCCTTGGCCCTCGGCCGCGACCCGAACCTAGGTATGTGTGGATCAAAGCGATTTCAAAAGGTCATTGACTTTACATTATATATGGGGATTGCTTCAGCTGTTTCATATGTCAATACCTGCAGCCCTGGTCCACCATGTACTAGTAGGTTGACCTTCCACGTAGGTCAACCAAGGTATCGTGCGACCCACAGCCAATTCCCATGACCGACCCAGCCACTGCGGCAACGTCCGACACAGGTCATGGGTTCTCGCTGTTGTGAAGTGATCGTTCCTGAAGGGCAGTTTTCTAGGCGAACCGCGACCACGATTGTGTACCATGACCCTCCAACAGGTCTCCTTTGGAGAGTTGTTAGGCCCTGTTCGAGGTCTCAAGTGGTGACCTATGGAATTGCTTGATTCCAAGGCCACGAACAGGAGAGTCCAACCAGGACAGTCCAACCACCACAGAGGTCCGATGAGCGGGTTTTGTGGCTCACTCATCGGGTCTTGAAACGGCGACAAACCCGATGACCACTGCGAGACCAGACCTGAGTTGTACCATGGACCATGTGCAGCCATTCTGTTAGAATTAGAGCAAACTCACAAACGGCTCATCCTCTGTGATCCTGCAAGTCATTCCGGTTCAATAGACTCCTGGAATAATCATGGAAGTGGATGGCATGGCTGCTTGGATGACCATTTTAGCCTACAAACGGGTGGCTTTCCACTTCGGAAGATGGTCATCCAAGGGGCCATCCCATCCACTTCCATGTTATTCCAGGGTTTGTAATGTGGACATTGTTCATGGTGTCTCCTCTGAAGGCCCTGCAAAGTCCTCCTAAAAATGCTCTCAGTATCAATGTTTCGGTGCTCAAACAGCCCTATAATGGGTACGCAGGTCAATGCAAACAATTGCATGTTCACATGGTCTCTGCAAATTTTTGGAAAGAATGCGCATGCGCTAGACGAGGATCTATTCAAAAAATGCACGACACGACTTAAATTGAATATATGCTATTATCATCCTACCAAAGAATTGTGCGCTTGATGTTGTTTGATGATTTTGAAGACCTGCAACAGGGGCTCGTCCCTCTACAGCCCCTCATCGCCAAAGTCTTCATGGAAGAAACCAAATATGGGAGAACTTGGTGAAAATAGTAGTAACAAGAAGCTATTAGAAACAAGTGCCACGCTAGTAGTAACAGGTGCCACGCTAGTAGTAACAAGAAGCTATTAGAAACAAGTGCCATGCTAGTAGTAACAGGTGCCACCCTAGTAGTAACAAGAAGCTATTAGAAACAAGTGCCACGCTAGTAGTAACAAGAAGCTATTAGAAACAAGTGCCACGCTAGTAGGGTCCAAGAAGCAAGTTCTCCCAATGTCGGACTGGTCCGAACACCACCGGAACGGCATCGGAATGGCATCTGAAGCCCTCACAAGTGGACCAGCCACGAAGTTCAGCTATATTGAGTCTTGGAAGAACCAGGTGCGTGAGTCTTGTCTCGGGTGCGCTGTTCAGCATCAAAAGATGGGAGTCCCAGAAAAGTGAGGTGCGCTCTTCCATGTTCATTAAGCCGAAGTCCCAGAACCTACAAGAGATGTCCCAAGGTCTTAAGGTCTGTCTTCATGGTCTTTTAACCGGGACCGATGGGAGATGGAGGTCCAAGCCCCCGGGAGGGTGGCCCCTTTCCATTCGCCACCCGGGCGGGGGGGTCGACCCAAGCCGAGTTGGTTCAATCCTCATGTGTACCGTTGCCAACGTGTTCGGTTCAGTTTTCCCGGTGGGCTTTCACCCAAAGCCGTCTCTCGCCCCATTGACGTCACGAAAAAACGGCGGCGCCTGGTCCGGAAGATGTCAATCCGGTACTGAGAACATGTTCAGCAAGCTGGAGCCAATTGAACTGGACAAACAATGACAAACACACATCATTTGTTGGCATGGCCCCCCTTTTGAGAATGCTTATCATTCTGGGTCTGACACTATAGACTCTAAGTTGGGAGAAGAATGGTAGTATGACTAGGGGCCAAATCAAATTCCTATTCCGCAACGAAGCTACACCAACAAACGCCTGAAGGCTACACCAACTCTTGCACGCACGAGATGGTTGAGCTGGCGGTGGCAGTTGAGCCGTTGCCGACCTCTTGAAACACCTCATGGAACGGCTGGGTCTAGCAGGTATCATGGCTGGTCCATCACATGACCAACACATAGAAAATGACCAGAAAACATGGCCAACATCACATGGCCAGGATCATTCATGGATTAGCTTGGATTAGCTATATATAATTCATCATTTATCACACATGACCAACATCGCGAGGGTTTCATCCTATAAGCACTTCAGACTTCGGACACACTAATATATTCTGCTGTGGGATCCCACCTTGGATCAAATGCCTATATACTAGAGCAAGCAACCTCAAACCAACTCCACACCCTTTGCTCAACACTGATAGAACCCGAAAAAAGACATCCGAAACACGTTGCTGCCCCCAAATCATCGTCTCCAAGTTCTTGTCTCTCGCTACCTACCCCCTTTTCTCTGAAAGAAAAGGCTCTGCTCACCTCGTCGACACGAGCAGAAAGAACCGTCGACATCGGCTCGTCGAAGCGAAAGGCTCCGTCGCCACGAAACACGTGGCCGGCTCCGAGTCTCTCGGGTGCGGTCTATCCAACGAGTGCTGTCTTGTCTCGCGTGCTGTCGTGCTTTTTCACCCCAATGAGAAGCTTCAGTGGATCAACAATGGGAAGCTTCAGTGGCGTCAGTGGCAGCCGTCCATGCTTGGTGGCTACAGCAATCCACTGCAATCCGGTGGAAGTGTCCAGTGCAACGGTCCATCCACTTGGGGAAACATATCATCCACGTCATCCACTTGTTACCGGTTCTCAATGAATTCTGGACTGCCTGGCCTCAATTCCGGAGAGTCACAGAAAGATAGTCCGAAAGTCCGAAAGCCCAAGGAACAAATTTATCTTTCTGACTTTGGACTTTGGGACATTTGGGACATTTTTGGACTTATTGTTTATTCTTTTGGACTTATTTCTGTTTTGGACTTTGGACTTTTCAATTTATGTCCCAATTGGGCATATTCACCGTCCAAGTGGACCAGGCTGTTGAGTGTTTGGTCACGTTTGGTCTTTGGGACATTTTTGGGACACTCCCCAAGAAAAAATACAATGAACTGTTTTTGACAAACAAACACAGCGGTAGGATTGGTTTCAGTTTCATACTAAACTTGCCCCCTGAAATAAATGGCACCCCCGGCATATCCCCCCGGCATATCTGGCAAAGCTACCTTAACATAAACAAACATTCAACCACATCAAACCGGCACATGCCACCTGCTACTCGCTACGACCATCAGTTCTTGGTTCGGTCTTGACCCCATAGCGCCCAGAATGCTTGGGCGAGACACTGGTCATCCCTGCAATCACTTCATCCCTTCAATCCCCATGCAAATGGGAATCTCAAGAACCGAATGGTCAAGAACCGAATGTGTACTGTTTCTTGATTTTCCCACAGACCTGCATTAATCCAAAGCACGAAACCCCCCCTTCTCCTCTTTGGTCTTGAAAAACCATTCCCAGCACCTTCAGCCCGAGAGTACCCAAATCCCTATCGAAGGAAGCTCTCCAGCTCAACGGAACGCGTCCACAAAGGAAACAGTTCAAAATGGTACGGAGCATTTTCAGGATGTGGTTGAAATCCATACCTTCCAGACTCATCTCAGTTGAGAAACCACTTTGGTTGACCGCTTACCTCTGACGAACACTCTACAGCTTGGTGACTGCCACCCAGGGCCAATGGTACCCACTGGTCTGAACGGCGGACTTTGGCCGGCCAAAAGTCCCTCCAATTAGAGGGTCTGACCACGAGGTACCCTACCTACGACGGGGACTTTGGCGACCCAAAAATGATGCAGACGATACTATTGGATCACAATTATATGTGATGCCATGTTATATAATAAATATGTAATTCTCCTGTTAGTCTGGGCAACTGATACTCGTACTCGTACTGTTGCTTCTCCGACGACCACCACCACCACCACCACCATGACGATGATTAGGATGCGAGTGGTGAGTTGTCGAAAGGTAGGGTCTGAACAAATGCAAAACCGATCTTAGGAATCAGGTTAGAGTGCGCAACCCACACCTGTATGCTGATGGAAAACAATGGGACTCCAAGTGTTTTTTTTGGTATACTAAAGTCTTGCTATTGTTCGAAGAGTGTTGCAGCTTCCAATCATCAAAACATCCGCCATGACATCATGTCATGGATTATGAAGTGCTGTCAAATTGGGCCACCAAAAACCTGGTTCCTTGGAAACAATCAGAGTTTGAACTACAATTTTTAGAGACTACATGAGACTACATAGTGACATAGTTGGTTGTCGGAGGGTCAATCGTAATTAGCCATGTATCTTCGGAATGTGTGTATGATTGTGTGCGGTGGATATGTTTCTTCACAGAAACAACTCATAAACGCTTCAAATGATTGTGTGCGGTGGATATGTTTCTTCACAGAAACAACTCATAAACGCTTCAAACAAACTAATTCAGGAGGGTAAAGCGTTGTAGCAAACCCCAAACAAAAAAAAACCTGTTCTACTCTCAGTTCTTTCTAAACCATCTCTTGGCCAGCCGGCTGTTCAATGCATTGGTGTCTCGACAGTTACACCACCAGAAATGGAAGTGGTGCTGAGTCTCTGCATCCATTTTCAAGGGTCCGCCTAGGCCGCTGAACTTCAGCCGCCTCACGTTACCCGCCTCACGTGACCGAGAACTTGGTGTTCAGACTGCTCCTGGATGAGCCAAGAAGCCATGAATCTGAAAGTGCCGCGAGCGAAAAAGAAATAAACCCGGCATCACCAATTTTGACAAGCCATGATCGTGTAGCACATCCTGTGACCAGTGGATGATGAAGTTGCAGGCCGACATCTCTAAAATCGTGATGGTTGCTTCCCGACTGTTATTGGTAATGGAACGGACCCAACATATTGAAATAATGATATTTTAACAAATAACTGATAATGGTTGATAATGGTATCCGCCGACCCCACTCAATCATGTTACATACGCATGCTATGTGGGTCCGGAGTGGTCGATGGTTTCATCCCACCCTTCGGGAGGCTGGCGGACTAGCACTGCCGGACTAGCCGCGGACAAGCATGTTCCCAAATGAATCCCCCCTGTCAACTGTCTCCTCTAGCGTTAACCGCGTGCAAAAACAAACACGTTGCCAGATGGTCCCGGGTGCGATTCCCCCCTCCTCCCCAACCCTCCTCCCAACCCTCTCCGTCTAGTGTTTTGCGATGGAATTTTGGGTGTTTTCAAGTCTTCATGCGTTTTCTAATGTGTTCCTAGGTGTTTTCTGGTCAAATGTTTTCTCGTGTTTATGTAGGGTTTCCCCCTGCCGCTGCCGCTCTAGCATTTATTGTGCACATCTACTGCAAGCGCCCCCATTACCAAAGCCGTGAACTTCTCCTCAAGAAACGGACCAACAGCATCTTTTCTCGCTGCCCCTCGTCACTCATTCTTAAACCTCTTGA